CCCTCGACCCGCCGGGGGGACCCTCGACCCGCCGGGGGCCCGGGGTGGAGCTGCCGCAGGGCCGCCCCGCGGGCCTCGCCTTTGCCCTCAGCTGGGCTCCGCTCGGCGTTGGCCCCGGGCAGAGGGGGGAGCTCGCCGTCCTCGTCACGGCTGCCCGGCGGCTCGGCTGGCTGCTGCCCCTCGTCCCCAGAGGCGGCTGCGTTGTAGAGGCTGGCTGCCGGGAGGCAGTTGCCGTGCCCTCTGTTAACGGAGAGGTTTGGGCTGCTCGGAGACGAGCCGCGAGCTTGAAAGAAGCTTTTTAAGGCTAGATCGTGCGTTGGCTGCAAGGATGTGGCGTCTCGGGTAAAGAGGAGGGTGTCTTTTGCTCTGGCGTTTAGCCATCCTTCCGCTGCCTGTCTCAAGGTCTATTGTATTTCCTATGTGAACAGGTTTCCATCATCCTGGGGTTGTGCCAGCCAGGTGGTCAACAGGCACTGCTTGTAGACTTGGCAACCTCTTCTGCACCCTATTTTCCTCCTACACACATGGGGAGTGAAGGTATTCTGCTCCTGTAGTCCTGGGTGGGATATCGGTTTGGTGCAGGTAGAACGAGACTGTTGTGCCTTTTTAGTAACATTTTTTGCAGTTGTTCTTCTGCTGTGTTTGACTTTTATCTGGCTGTTTGCTGTTTAGGTTAGTATGTTCCTCACTTCTTGTTATGTTCCACTTTAGGTGTGTTTCTGTAAAAGGAAATTCACAGTTACGTTCAAAGATGAAAAGCAGTAATACTAATAAAGGTTCTGTTCTCTTTAGGTACAAGCAGTGCCCCAACAAGTGGCTGAAGATAAATTTGTATTTGATTTGCCAGACTATGAAAATATCAACCATGTAGTGGTCTTCATGCTGGGAACTATACCATTTCCAGAAGGAATGGGAGGATCTGTCTATTTTTGTTATCCGGACCAGAGTGGGATGGCAGTGTGGCAGCTGCTAGGGTTTGTCACTAATGAGAAGCCAAGTGCCATCTTCAAAATTTCTGGTCTAAAATCTGGTAAGACTGGTAAAACGTAGCGGTCAGTTAAACAGATGTGTTCCTGCGTGCATAAGGGGATAAATGTTTGAGGGTGGTTTTGAACAAAAAGCTACTTGAAAAGGCAGACCACCATGTGTTTTCAGATAGTCCCAAGCAGATGTGGTACTAGAAGCAGTCTGTCAGCTTCATGGATGTCTGTATGTTAATGTTCCTACTGAAATTTCTCACTCATCTTCTCTTGTACTTGGTGTTGATCTGGAAATTCCTTTGAGCTGGCTTGGCATGTGTTCCAGTGCTTCTGCACAGAGAACCTGAGGAAGAATGACCCTGTAACTTCCCTAGCATGGTTTTTAGGCGTTTGTCTAGACATGCCTGCAGCGTTTTCCTTCAGCTTCCACTGTTAAGCTGTTGTATTCTTTGTAGCACAGAGACAGGTTTTGTGACGAGTAAAGTCTGACGCAGTGATTTCGGACAGCTAGCCGCTTCCCTTTCAGGTGCGGTTGCACTATATAATTGTCCAGTAGAGGGGGTCGTCATGGGAAAGCAGCTTTCCAGATGTTTTAGTATTTTTGAAATAGACCTGAGTCAGAGAATTGTGACTCATGTGGGAGCCAGAGAATGCTGGTGCTACCTGAAGTAGGTGTGGGTACGTCTTCCTAAATATACGGGAGTTTTGCCATGTGTATTATAAAAATGATGAAGCACCCCAATGGTACACCTTTGTCTTATTAAAGGGACAGATATGTCAGTCAAGCAGCTTAAACTGTTATGGTGATAAAGTAATACACACCTTTTATAGGCTTCAGGGTAGTCTACAGCCTTAGCTTGAATCTCTGTTTAGGTAATCGTTGAGGTTGCTGTGATAAAATGTATGAATTCGTAACGTGGCATGCTTGCTTTTGAATCCATCCTGGACGGCAGTGTGACATGAGATAAGGGCTCTCAAGGTGCAGAGCAAAATGAATTCTGATCATATGTGTTCCTCAAAAATTTGGGCTTTCTTCAGAAGAGAGAACAGCCACAGGAAGGGTTGGTGGGGGCATGCTTTTGTATATTCCAAAGTTGTGTTGTTAGTGAAACAGTGAAGTGTATCGTCAGTTCTTTTGCCATATGTTTCTTATGCTTGAAAGACTTACCATATTATATATGCTTTCAGACAGCTTTGTAGGAAAACACATTTTCAGATGCTTTTTGCATGATTAGCCATAATGCCCACGTAAGGGCTGCTCTCAAGGAAGAATTCTGTGACATGTGCTGTGCTTGATCTGAACAACAGAGACCTCCACAGATACCTGATGTTGTTGTCTACAGCTTATCTCTGACTGTAGAGTCAGTATAAGCTACACAGCCTTAGTGTCCATGTCCATAAACAATTCTTTGGTGGAGAAGACAATAAGGCTGTAGAAAGGGGACACCAGCAAGGGATTACAGAGAGCTGGAATCATTGAGAGACATTACTGACTGTTGAAATCTGTGTTTTGGGTTTAATCCCTTGTTGAGAGGAACAGATTTGTGTCCCTGTTTGTCAGCTCCCTGTGAAGCTGTGGTTGTAGCAGAGTTTCTTGCTGTGTGATGAAGAGGACCAGCATGTTTCTTATGTGGACATGAGTGCCCAGCTGGAGTGTCATAATGTTTTATTACGTAGACTTTGGGAAAGGTTAAATGTATCATTTGTAACGTTTATGTTTATGGTGTATGATGTGCCCTGGAACTGTACAGGTTTTGTGTTGCATATAACTTGCCCACGTTGCACATTGTTGTAAGGACTCGTTGGCTGTTAAATACAGTATCTGGGGATGTGGTATTAGACTTCTGGACTATGAAGGTCAAGTAAAATGGCGTTTCCCCAGGTTTTTTTGTTTGTTTCTCTCCTTCCTGTCCCATGCTTACTTGGGAAAGCTGATGCAGGTGAACACTGCAGTGTTTCCACATGGGGTACCAGAAGGTTATCTCAATAGGTGAACTAAAGGGGAAATTGCTTTTGTGGAATACAGTCCTCGTGAAAGTGATTTGTGGAGAGCTACTAAATTATGGACCTGGACACTTTTTCCTTGACTACAGGTGCTATTTAAACTCAGGTAACCTTCTTTGAATAAGAGTTTCCAGATTAGGTCTTGAAGGTGTCTCACAGGCACTTGGTCATAGTACCCTCTAAAAGATTCCTTTAGAGCTCCTTTATAATCAGGAAAAGTTTGTTGAATTGTATTTCATAGCAGTCTTTGTACAAACTTAATATATCTAAAAGCAAGCTTTTCTGTTGTTCTCCTAGCTAACTTTTAACTGTTCTTAAAAGCTATGCTGTGAGGCTAGAAATGTAAGTGCTTGTGTAGTTTGTTAGGGTTTTGTGTTTGGTGGTGGTAGTTGTTGTTTTGACCCCTTGATTTAGTGAGGGAAGTCTTGCATCTGCTGATATTGATTGTAAGTCTAGCAGTCAAAGGCCTGAAGTGTTCAGCATTATTACATGTTTCTTTTTGAGAATTAACTATCATGTAAGATGGTGTCTGGCTTTGCAATAAGCATTAAATTTGAGTTGTTTTTTTTCTCCTCAGATGCAATCTGCACGTTTGCTGGAAATAACACTATAAAATCACCACCCCCAACCCCTACCCCCCCTGCCCCAAATTGGTAGTTAGATTTTGTGCTAAAAGCTGAAAAATATGTGTTTGTGAGGTTTTGGGGTTTTCTGGTCATTTCCCCATCCCCCAGTGGGATGACAGTCAATGTGTATTCTTTCAGTCTCTTACTGTTCCCATTTCTGGATTTTTCATTACAGGTGAAATGTTTAACAGCCTGTAGTCAAGGCAGAATAGAATATTTCTGGCTTTAACAAAGATGAGTGGCTTCTTTAGTGCCAAGAGGAATAAAGTAGCAATATACCTTTGTGAACGAGGCTGTGTTCATCTCTTGAAATTGTGCAATTTCTGCACTTGTGTAATAAGCTACAGCTGTAATCACATCTTGTAGTAAGATCCCTTGGTGCCTGTTGGAGCCGCACTAGTAGTATTCATTCATTAAGGTCACTGGCATTCCTAATGGAATTGCTGTGAGCTTTATTACTCAAGAGAAGAAATTGTGGTCAGGTCTCATGGTATGACCAAAGAGTTCAAGGTTTTTGCATAAAGAAGGGGCTCAAAAGTACTCCTTGCCTTGAAATTTTAAGGTTTTTTATTTCTCACTTGTGCCTGAAAGTGTGGTAGAAATAGAAAATAAACCTTGGGCTGGGATTTTGCACCCTTACTGGGAGTACATTGACAAGTGGGATAAAAGTTACAGGATAGCCTTCTCTGTTACAGACTTTTTCTGCTGCGCTGCATGCAATGATGTCTGTGATGCTGTTTTCCACTTAAAATATACCCTCTAATGTAATGTCTGCATTTGAGGCATACACATGGGTAAGGTTTTTGACATGGTTGGGCTGAAAGGTAATAAGGGCTCGCTATCTTGATTCAAGGGTTCAATGAAAGGGTGGAAAAATATTTTTCTGATTGCAGTTGCTCTGGTATGACATAGTACGTTATGACATGGGACTCTGTGGGAGTGTAGGGTCTGAATGTGAAAGCCTGGGCTTGTATTTCAGTACCGATTAGCATACTGTGTTCTCTGTGTTTGTAAGATTTGGAGAGTTAATTGTAGGAGCCAAGGACTGAAAATGTGGAGTGTAATTCAGTTGGTCTAAAGATGGCAGGGGATGCTTTTCTCTTACCCTTTTAGACAGACATCTCTCAAAGAGAGTGGTTCCATGGGAGTGCATGCAAAGTGACAGAAGGGATGTATTTTATTATTGAGATCATGAGTGTCTTTCTAAAGTAGTGATATATTCTGATGGAGCCTGTTGCTTGAGGATGTTCTATTTTTATTATAAATGTCAGCTTCTCGGGTGAAGACATTACAAGCTCTATGGCTTTTTTACCAATGAAATTGTGTGATATTTGGTTTCTAATAGCTTTTCTCTTTCTTTCTTAATACTTTAATAAATTTTACCTTTATCAAGCAAGCATCTATCTACAGTAAAGGTTGAGATCATACAGCAGTGGCATTTATCAGAAGAGCTCCTAAATAGCACTTCAGAATAGAATATTTCTGACTTTAACAAAGCTGAGTGGCCTCTTTAGTGCCAAGAGGAATAATTCACATGGTCAAGTTTCTGAGATCTTCAGTCTTAAGCCTGAGTTAAACTTCTCAAACTTGTGCTGTTTTTGCTGGCTGAGTTTTTGACCATGGAACTAAGTCAGATGGTGCTTTAGACTTTAGTTAGACTTTCTCGCAGCTCAGTATGGTGTTGACTGCTCTGTAGGACAGCTCTTGATTAGCTTTGCTTTCTCCTGCTAGTAAGGGGCTAGAGTGCTACTGAAACATCACTTCTGTGTTAAGAGGGTGTACTTGTCTACTGTGTTCACTCAAAGTTAGGTGGAGTATTAGTATTTGTTTACTAAAAGCATTGTGGTCCCCCAGACCTTTTTCCTGTATTTTCCTTTACAGATGCTGACAAAGAGAAGTGCATTATTTAAGTGACTCTAGGTGTGTGTCATTGCAGAGACCATAGCTGAAGCTGGGAGTGAAAGTACTGGTTAATACTCAGCTGAGAAAGGTCAGAAGTGATGGGAGAGGGCTGGGATGATTCCTGTATGAGTGGTATGCAATTAGGGACTGTTTTTCTGCCTAATTCATTTTTTTCTTTGTGGCTCCTGCAAAGTCAGGTGCCTTTCTGTTCCATGGCTGTTTCTTTGACCTTTGCTGCTGTTGTGGCTTTGAGCAATTCAGATGAGACCTGGGGCTGCCCAGCCCTTCACAGGGATAGCTTTGAGTCAGAGTGATCTTGAAGTAATGTTCTGTTTTTCAGCACACAAACAGGTTCACAAGCGCCTGGTTTGAATGAGTGAATCAAATGATTCTGTAGCAGTGCTTCATGTTTCCTGTTTATCTGCAGTTGTTATAATGTGAATTAAAGTCGTGGTTCCTATAGAGAAAGGTTCTGCTGTCTTTTACTCACAGATCGTATTCCCTGTTGAATCTGTTTACTTCTTAGGGAGCTTTAAAATTGTTTTTCCTTTTTTTAGAAACTTCCTTGATCTGCTGTGTTTTTTAAATGTACTGTTTCATCTGTTGTGCTTGTGTGTACTTGTGTCTGTGCTTGGACTGTGATTTTTCTGTACCTGTGAGATAGGGAGAGCTCTCTGGTGGGAGCTGAGGAATACCTTGTACAGAAGAAGCACAGTAATTTAAGTAACACAGTCTTTACATGTGTGCCAAATATAATGTGTGCTGTTTGTGGTGCTTTCAGGGAAGGGAAGTCAACATCCCTTTGGTGCCATGAACCTCCCTCAGACGCCAACGGTAGCCCAGATTGGAATCTCAGTGGAACTGCTGGAGAACCTGGCCCAGCAGACTCCTGTTGCAAGTGCTGCTGTGTCATCAGTAGATTCATTCACAGAGGTAGCTTGGACATCCTGTTTTTGGAAATTGTCTGTACTACTAAAGTCTTAAGAATTAAGCCTCTGAAGAACTAATTAAAAAAAGCTGCTATGGGTGGGGCTATAGGATTGTAGCCAACCTAACGGTTGTCATATCATTTGGCTGGATGCCTTGCTATTTTGAAATTACTTTTTCTTACACTGGAAAACTATGACTCCTTGGAGTCATAGGATTGGATTTTGCATGCTCAGTGGAATCAGGCCAATAGACTCACTTGTCTTGATGTCACTCTACTGTAAAAATATTTATGATGCTTCCTTATAGGAGCAGCTATGACTGAATGCATGTAAGAGACAGTGGATCTTTGGTGATTTGTAGGTGCTGGAACTCCAGTGTATAGACTTACGGAGATGGTCAAAAATGACTCAAAAGTCAAGGCAGACACGGGCATGGGTACAGATAGATATGCAGGGGTACCTTCTGATGTAGTTTTGCCAAACTACAGAATCATGCCCTTTCCCACAGAAGGATGTATTTTGTTTTTTTCCGGTTCTTTCCTTGTGGACCAGGCCTTGGGCTGCAACACTTGCCATTTTTTACCCAGCTTGTCTGTTAGTTTGAACCTCTGGAAATCCTCAGCCAGCACTGGCAGTCAGTTGGCCATTTAACAGCAGTTCAAGGCAAGCTAGGTCTGCATGGCAGGTCTTGATTTCCTTATCACTGATGCCTCTGGCATTATCTTTTAACATTTCAGCAGTTGGTGAGGCTTTTCTTGAGGCTTTTTTTTTTTCTTGCTCGCTTTCCTTACAGACGCTTGCTGAGGTAGATTGGTAATTGAACAGTAATCCTGATAATGTACCTGATGTCCTTTGGCAGTTTGTACACATAATAGCTCCAAATAGGTAAGGTCTCTTGGAGAAAGTTATCATGACTAGGAGTTGACTAACAGCTATTTTTGTATAGTATGGTTAATTGAGCTTTTCTGGAGTTGTTAGGGGAAATGACATCTAAATAATATTTCTGACTCTACCAATTTTTATAATAGCACTAGTTAAGTCATGAGGTAATAATGTGCTGCTTGAGGTCATTTGCAGGGTGGCTGGTGGATTTTTCTGGCAATAGTATTTAAAGAAGAAAACCACCTCATGATTGCACAACATTTTTACGAATGTTATTTCCAGTTAGGTGGATTTTTCTATTAAAAAGGAGTAGCATCTTAACTGAAATTGTATATTGCTTTCAAGGGATGCTGCTGAGCCAAAGGTTGAATTAATAGTTACTCCTGTAGAGAAAATGTATAAAGTCATAGTTGAAAGAAACCTTTGAGGGAGTAGATAGTAGAGGAAGGGGATATGACTGGGAGCATGTTTGTGAATGCTAATGGCTTTTATTTAATACTTGACATCATCTCTTTAGATATGCTACATTATAGCAGTGGAAGTATTTTTTTAAAGGCAAAATCATCTGTTGCTGCTCTAAGTTAAGGGGTTGCTCTCCCACTACATTTTTAGTAAGTTTTATTGAGCTTTATGGTTGTGTGTATATTTTTTTATACATATAGTTATATTACAAAGAAGTTGTATGGAAAAAAGTGGAACAAAACCACAGAGCTTTGTATGTGAGTGGGGTGAGACTGAGGGTAGGCTCCTGGGTTCTAGGACATCAGTTCTTCCAATCCTTATGTCAGAGCATGTGGAGGGAAGCACAAGAGTGTGCATATATTGCACCAGGTTCTGTTTTCCTTCATCATTTCACTGTCTATGAAAATAGTTTGTTCTCCCACCAAAACAATGCATACTTTTTTAAAAATAAAAAGAATAGGGGAAAGGAGGAGGTACCATAGGCTTAGGTATTTGTAGACTGGCTGGGAATGTCCTACAGCTTCATCCTCTGCACACAGGGCTTGCTACTTCTTGGCTTCTCTTTCACTCTTTTACTTCCTTATTCCTACAGTTTAGGAGTTTCCTGTGCATCTTTTTCATGTTTTCCCCAGCAAGATCTTGTGGCAGAGGATGCCAGGGTAGCAGCTCTTCTGTGGTGAAAACTAAAGGAAATTTCCCTGTCACTGGAGTCGTGACAAGTTGTAATGAGGCAGACTGCAGACTTTTCAGCTGGTTTAACAACTAGCATTTTGCTATGAGCTGGAATGGCAGCTTTGACCTGGTCTACAGTTCTTCTGATGGTTTAATTTGGAGGAGAGGGACAGCTTTTGTCACTGCATCACTTTGTCACAAAAAGAAAATGTTCTTCCCAAAGCTGTTTATCCAGTTGGATGAAATTGGGCGGGGAGAGGGCAAGTGAGGATTCTGAAAATGATTTCTGGATGCTGGATGGATCTGAGGGCAAGACCAAGAGTTTTGACTGATTTAAAATGGACATCTCTGGACCTACTATATCCACTTCCCCATTGTGTTTTAGATGATAATGCTAATTTTACTTCATGTAGGAGTTGTGTATCTGTTAAACTTTTGCACAAAAATTCAAATTAAAAAAATAACTTAAAATGTCTTTTTTTTTTTAATTTCAGTTCACTCAGAAGATGTTGGATAACTTCTATAACTTTGCTTCCTCATTTGCTGTTACTCAGGCACAGATGACCCCAAATCCTTCTGAAGCTTTTATTCCTGCAAATGTAGTTCTGAAATGGTAATGGCAATGATCTCTAGTAACAAGTGGTTTTTTTTCTAGCTGTTAAACCAGCTGATTTCTAAGTATTGAACTACTGTCATGCTCTTCAGTGAGATGATGCAAAAATATTTATAAGTGTTTGTTGTTGTTTATCTCAAGTATAGAGAGGGTCTATCCACAATCTTTATTTGTCAGCATCTTCATATCAGCTTTTTATTAGAAAAGTGCTATACAGCATATGAAATTTTTTTGCTTCTAGAAATGCCACCCTTGACATATGTGGATTTGCACTATGTTGCTGATTATGCAAATGCTCTGGAGTCAGGGGAAGACGGAACATGCTGATACTTGTCAATTTGTGCTTACTTGTTATGCTTGGTCTCTTCCTAGACATAGTTCCAGCAGTTGCTTAAGAATGTGGGAGAGGTGGAGAAATCACGTTCCTAGTTGAACTGGTTCTGTCACCAAGACCCTTAAGCACAAATACAAAAGTCTGAGTTGTTTTCCAGAGACTGGTTTAAGATATAACTGTCTATGGGGATAGCCTGTGTAGTCTGGAGATAAATTGCGAACTGCAGGCAGTCCTTTAAGATGTCTGAAAAATAATTCCCTACAGTTTATCAGTTTAGCCCTTTTTAACCTTTACAGTATTAACCTAAACCCTTTTCAAAACAGTATTTTTGGCTCTCTGAATACAATTTTATCGTTAGCACAGATCTCATGAATATGCAGGCAGTTAACCTAAGGAATATATTTTTGGGGGGAGTGTAACTTGATGCAGATCTCTTCTATTTAGAAGGTAACTCTATGCATGCCATGAACATGTGTGGGTAAGGTCTCTGAGAGAAACCAAAGGGAAGACGGGCTAAAGAAGCAGGGCAATGGCTGGTCATTGCCTGGATGATGCTGAATTTGCTTGTTTGTGGTTTGCTTGTTTCTGTGAGTATGGAAAGTGAAATTAGGACAGCATGTGTGCATATGTGATTCCAGTATGTGGTAGAGAATTAGTTTTCCTCATTAGATTTTACTAAAACATTACAGCATATAAAATATGTGGAAGTTAGAATTATTTGATGAGGGTGGAAGAATAATGGGGACTACTTTGTCTCAAGGTTTCTATTAGAACTACAAGGCAAATCGATGCATAGCCTTGAGTGCAGAATTGCCTGCAGTCCCCTCTGCCTTACCTGTGAGCAGGTTACACATCGCCTGCTAGGAAGCGATTCTGGCTTGGAGGCTGTGGTCTCTGTGCAAGCCTGCTCGAGTCTGTCAAGCTTGCCTAGCTCACACCCACTGTCCTGTGAACTGAGAAATGCTAGGCTGGCTCTGTGCATCCTAGATGGAGCAGCACCGAAGGGGTAGTACAGGGACAGCTGAACTGGATTCAGAAGCAATGGTGTTACCTTGGTTTTCCCAGTATTACAGTGTATCCTGAATGGCATGAGACTTTCTTGGTCTGGTTTTGCTGGGGTTTCTTCTGTGAGATACGCAGCCTGATTACTAGGATGATGGGCAGCCTCAGACTCACACTTCCACCTGCCTGAACTTTGATTTCCTAGCCCAAAAAATGTTATGCACAAAATAGCCACTTTTAATTCACTTACAATTTTACTAAGCTTGAATGAGCATCCTCTGGGATACCACTTTAATGAAATACATATTGTTGTTGAAATACACAGGTTTCACTGTGAACATTCTTGATAGGGAATCAAAAAGGAGGACTTCAGATTTACTCCCTGGTGTGGAGTGGATGTAATTTATCGTGTTCTCTGCATAGACTGAATTATTTGTATCATTTTTGAAGCCATTTTATTTGCAGCAACTTTTGGGTTTTGATTGTTCGGGTTTTGTTTGGTTTTTTTTTTTTCCCCTAGGTATGAGAACTTCCAGAGACGTCTGACACAGAACCCTCTCTTCTGGAAAACATAAGCTTAAATTGTGTCATTTGAAGTGCTTTCTAAACAGTGTGATCTGAAAGATGCAGCAAGTAACTCCACTGAAGAATTTGGGGGGAGAAAAAAAACCCAAAACGATTAGTCTCAATAGACAAACTTGTAACTTTTGTATTACTCTTGAAAATTATTTAAAATTAAAATCCGTGAAAACTACTTGCCTACGCGTTGTTTTTTTTTTTAATTGAAGTATTTGGCTGCAACAAGAAATCAGTGTTCCATGTGCATGCATAGAAATATCCTTTTGAAACTGCATTTAAAGTGGAAGAAATTACAAGATAAAAAATGGCAGCACTGTTTCATACTTGTGTGATGTTTTGGGGTGTTTAGTTGTAGACAAAATAAATTTAGTTTTTCCTCCTTTACCTCATTCTGAAGAGTGATTGGGTGACTGAGAATATGCTGGTGGTTTTCCTCCTGGTACTTACACTGTAAGTTCTTTTACTTTGTGCACAACCAATATTCCTGGCCCCAGCTCTCATAAATGGTACAATAGTATTTCCCTCTTTTTGGTGTGAAGACATGATTGAGCTTGATCTTGGGGTACCTGTCTTTAACTTCTCCTGTATACAAGTGTAATGAAGAGAAATCTTTGGGGACTCTTTCCCTGCTGCAAGTCAAATAGCTTTGAAATGGCTGTTGCAAGCCAATTCAGAGTTGTATATTTGTACTTTGCAGCCCCAGACTGTTCAGTGAAGTGAGACCTGCTAAATTACTGGCTGGAGTTATTTGATGAATTTGTCTCTCTCTTCAGCTTTCTTTAATTATGGTATGAAGAATGATGTGGAGGAGGAGAAAAATAAGCATAATGGTTCTTAGTATCTAGAAGACTTCTTCCATGAGGAAAATGTTGGGGTGTGCCACAAATCAGATTTTTCTGTAAGTGTACAGAAAAAAACAAGTCCAGCTGTAGTTATATTCAAAAGATCAATGCTGTCAGAGTTTCTCTGTTCCCCTCTAGCTGAAGGGTGTTTGCACTACTTTTATGTCAAACCTTTGTCCGTGTTCCTCTTTCCTTTTCCACTTTTAGAGTGCCAGAATAGTTGGGCTGGGGATATTCGCTGTTCTTATGGGACAGAACGATTGTTTGCCTGTTCAGAGACCCATGTTTCAACTGTCCAATGTTGTCAGAAAGATTCTTAACCTTGGCCATGCTATAAGAATTTATCCCAGTAAGAAGACAGAGTAAAATATTGTTTCCCTTTGAAACAGATGTGGGATGTCTGATAATGCTGTCTAGGAGTGGTCACTGGCCCCAAAAGCTGTCACACTTGCTCATAAATTCATGGGATTTTGAAGTGGTCTGTGTAATTCTCAGGAGTTCTTCTCTTTTGCTTCTTAATTGGAAATGTTTAACAGGAGATGCTAAGTCTCTCAAGCCCTCAGTGCCTGCACACTGAGTGTGGGCAGAGTTACGATGGCTTTATCATGGCATTTGAGAAGACCACCCTGTAGCAAGGCATTGCCTGAGGGCCTGAAGGCTGCTGAAACTTGACTGCAATTAGCATCTTTGCTTGTCTTGCATTGCTTAATATATTCTATACCAGCTGTCCCATGGGACTATGCCACTGTAGCCTTGGAGACATCAAATCCCTGTGACACTGTGGAAAGCTGTGTGAGACCATGATGTATCTCTGGCTACATCTTGAACAGACTGAATGTTGATTTTTGTTTTCCTGGACATGGGTGTCCTTTTTATGAGGCAAAAGAAAGCCAAAATGAGGTTTTATGAAAAATTTCTTCTTAGCCTGGATGCAATGGGAAACTTTATAGAAGTTCTTAGCAATGTAAGTCTTGCTGGTTTAGCCATGCTACTTACAGGATTTCAGACTGAATCTCGAAGGCCTGTTGAACTGGTGTCCCCTGGCATGGTGTGATTTGTCTGACTGCTTGGCCTAGACATTATGGACAGTAATAGAGGTGCTCTGTAGATTTATTCTGTCATCAATTGTCTTGATTTGCCCAAAGCCAGGGAAGAATGCTGTGCCTGCCTCCGCTGGGTTCTCTGTTGGTCAGGAATTTGTCTCCTGGTTGAAGCTGTTGAGTGTCACCCTTGCAGAAAGCCTAGCACTGTTAGTACCCAGGAGCAGTTCGTAGCAGGAGTATCTCTGCTTGTTGTAAGGAGGGGCTATAGTTAACTAAGGAGAGCTTCGGTGAGGCAACTGCTTCTTTTAGCAGTTGAAAGGTTTGCTGTCTTTGTTAGTGACATGGTTGTTGCCTTGGAATCATCTCACCTGTCTCTGTCCCTGTTGCAGAGGAAGAAAGGGATGATGAATTGGGTCATTCCCCAGGGAGAAACTGGTTTCCCAGGTGAGTAAGGCTGCTTTTGTCTTGCCTTGACTGATGAGGTGAGAGCCTCTCAGCTCCTCTTGGGTAGGACTGCATCACTAGGATTTTTCTGTCTTGGTTATTTGAGGAAAAACTCATTCACAGGACACCCCATACTTATTCTTGCTTGGGTTGGAAGATGTACATCTTCACTTGACGTAATATAGAGCAATCACTTGATTGCTTTTTATGTCATCAGTCATGCATAATCATCATCATTCGTTAGACAGAATTTGACTTCCTTGCAGCACTTGAAGCAGTACATTTCTTGACTTTCAGCCATGGAAGCAGAGCTCCCCAACATAATCAGTAGTGGAAAAAAAACCAGGAGAGCATGAAACACACCAAAGAAAACATGCACTCCTACATATACAAGGAAGGGCAAATTCAATCCATATTTGCATGAAATTCTTTGGCTTAAAATTAGAAGCATCAAGAACCACCTGATTTAAAATTACATTGTGGTAACATTATTTTTTTTAAAATTCAGTCACCACCAGATGGAGCAAAACCCCAGCAAACAGGGCCTTAAGGGAAGAGAGATCTTTCTAAGTGAACTGCCAATTTCTAAGTCTTTTGAAAGTTGGTGGAGAAAGACAAGGACCTCCAGGTACTACTTCTCTCCCTTTTTTTTTTTCTTTTTTTATGAAAGGATGAAAGATGAATCTCTTTGGAGAGACACTCAGCATGCAATAGTTGGAGGAAACAGTGCCATTCAAACTTTGTTGTGCTCTTCACGCAGAGTTCACTCAGAACAGACATCTGCAATGCTTGCAGTCTCCTGAAATGGTTTCCTGGCTGTACTGCAACTGTCCAACAGGAGATTGGAGCCAGGCAGAGCCTGACTTTACCTCTCCCTCCTCTGCCTTTTGCTGAGACAGGAAACAGAAGGAGCTGATTACGAAATTTGCCAAAGAACAGAACTACAGGTGGCTTGCAGACAATGGCAAAGAACAAGTTAATGTCTTTTGCGATATTTTTGCTAGGTTTCTCCAATACTAGGGTCAAACCATGCTGCTTTAACTGAAGGACTTGGGCACTGGAGCTCTCAAGGTATGTTACACAAAAGTATATATTAAAAGGTTAAAAGGTTTTGGATAATATTAAACTTCAAATTCTTTTGCAATAATTATAACTCTACTTGCTCTCTATCCTCCAGAAGACACCCAATAAAAATAATCTGATTTTTTTCCCCTGTTTTTAGTCTAGAACTAGGCAACCCTACAAAGAAAACACCCCAATGAAATAAATACACAACTTTCACATTCACTTGACCTTATGGGTCTGAATGGTGACAAGGTTTTTTCCCTTGTGGTGCATATTCAAGATATTATTAATCCTAAGAGCAGATAGGGCTGGCTGGCTGTTGTAAAGTAGAATTTTTTCCTCCCTGTGGCTTGTTCCAGCTTTACTTTTCCAAGTTCACATTGTCTAGTTCTTCCCTTCATTGACACCCTGAATCTGATTTCAGCTCCCTCAGGGTTTCTCAGGGCAAACCTGCTGGAACATTTGTCTGCATTTTAAGAGAACAGTCTTCAGCACACTGATAAGTTAATACAGAAGTTAAAGCTGACCCTAATTGTGTTAGGCCTCTCTCTAGTCAAGCACCACCCTTCCTTTCCTTCCTGTCAGAGCAGCTCATTTGTCAGAATGTACCACTTAACATACCAAAAAAACCCAACCATGGCTGAATAATCCCTGCTGCTTTTGTGCCCCGTTTCATTCTCAACCCTGGATGTGGGAAAACACAGAAGACATAGTCCACTGGCATGCTACTGTAAAGCATTTGCAAAGGCTAAATGATACCAGCCTCCAACCCAAGTGTTCTCAATATAGTTTAGCTCATCTGATCAAAGCTCTTTCCTTGACAGCTGGAGGAAGCCTGAGCACTCCCACTGCCTTTTTGGAGTGCTCTCCCAACCACATCCCCACCCCACAAGTTTTCAGACTCTGACAACCCCACATAGTTTCCGCAAAATGAACTCTGAGGTGCACAGGCCATCGCTGTTGCATAGACGCTGCTTCATACAGTGCCAGCAGTTCTGCAGATGCAGTAGAACTAGAGGTTAAAAACTACCTCCATGCTCCAGTCTCACCTGTTGTCTTCTCCTCCAGCTAATTTGTGTTCAACTCTGCCAGTACTTCAGTCTCCTCCCTCCAACACTCAGGCTTGTACCTGGTTCTGGCCGACTCTGGTTTTACACTTGGCTTCCTGATCATGTCCCCATGACCACTCACTCAGGGGCACCCCTTCCGAGAGCGAGCATCCTGGCCACTTGGCTTGTGCAAGAAAAAGAAGGTCCAGAATCCAGCTCAGTTAAACACTGGTTTTAGACAGACCTGTGCTACAATGGTACTACCCCACCTCCCCTGTACTAAAGACAAGGATTTAAATAAGAAAAACAGAAAAGGATAAAAAAATCATACATTACAGACTAAGACTTGTAAACTACTTGCCAGTTCCAGACTTTGGTTTTTTGGAGGCTCCCAAGGACACAAATCAAAACTGACTTAGTCCTATTACTTCAAACTGAACAGGTAGTTTATCTAAACAGAGCATTTACAAGCTTCCCAAACTGTAACAGGAAGAAGCAATATCCTGAATTATAAAAGCCAGATAGTCACTTAACAAGGCAGTAGCAGACAGGACTACTTAAATACTGATGAAAAAAGCACTATTATGTTGCCAATGATAGTGCACTTGAAAAGAATTTGTTAGGATATTACATAAATACAAGTAATACATTATGGTGAAGGATAAGAAGAGTACAGTAGGAAAAAAAGTATGTAAACAGCTCAGCTTCAGTAAATGTTATTAACCTTCTTCCTCATTCAGGTACATACAGCTATTGTGCAATGTCTTGGACCACTTCCAGAATACAAACACTAACTTTTCAGCTATAGGCTGACAAGATATACACAAGTGTTTTGAACACAAATTATCACTGTTAATGATGTCTGCCCTCTATTACAGCCTGAGAGAGTTGGGGTTGTTCAGCCTGGAGAAGAGAAGGCTCCGGGGAGACCTTACAGCAGCCTTCCAGTACCTAAAGGGGACCTACAGGAAAGATGGAGAAAGTCTCTTTACAGGGCCTTTAGAGACAGGACAAGGGGCAATGGTTTTAACTGAAAGAAGGTGGGGTTAAATGAGACATCAGGAAGAAATTTTTTATGATGAGGGTGGTGAGGCACTGGCACAGGTTGCCCAGGGAAGTTGTGGCTGCCCCATCCCTGGCAGTGTTCAAGGCCAGGTTGGATGGGGCTTTGAGCAACCTGGTCTAGTGGAAGGTGTCCCTGCCCATGGCAGGGGGGTTGGAACGAGATGGTCTTCAAGGGCCTTTCCAACCCAAACCATTCTGTGATTCTAACTTATCCATTTTTCCCCTTTCATTTTTATTAATTGTACATATTTTAAACCTATATGAAATAGTATTGATTTTAGAATTCATTATTCCTAGGGCAAGTAAAACATTGATGAGGCTATTTGGGGATACTGACAATAGAGGCAATTAAAATACATTTCCAGTAACTGACTTTGGTTTAAGAGAAACATAGTAACTGAACAGCCAGAATCCAAACAGTAGAGCAATGGGATACACTAAAAAAAAAAAAAAAAAAAAAGCCAGTAAAGTTCCCCCCCCCCCCAATCAGTAACAAAAATAGTGAAAAGCACATGCCAATTTGAGATTATTAAAACTTAATCAATTTCAATGGGCAACTAACTTAAGGAATGAGTTAAAAATATTTTCAGCAATGATTTAACATTTATTTATACTATATTCTTAAGTGTAGTATTTCCTTTGTGTGGTCCCTGGATAATATTCAACAGCTTCATTAGGTTTTCAGTCAAAAAGGCACAAATACAACCGCAAGCATACCCATATCAAACTTCTAGCAAGTTACCGTATACTGCAAAGCAATTTCTTAGGCCATAAATTAAAACATATTGTGGGAAATAATTAAAATGGACAATTCAGAAAACTTTACAAAAATACTTCTTTTTATTAAAAGCAGCAATTTCAAGCAGAACAATACACAGAATGTAAACATCACTAAGTTCAGCTCCAGCCTGCTGAACCTTCGAGAAAGTCTACACTAAATGCATCTACCATACTAGCGAGTTAACAGACTATATTATAATTTGAAAATATATTTTCTACTTTGAATTAAGAAAAAGTAATTTATCGTAGTCTGTCCCAGCGCCAGATACTGGCATCATCACACACAGCTATAAGGATACTACTATCCCTGCTAAAACTGGTTTGTCGAATGGCAGCGACACATTTAGGATGAGTGAGAGTCGTACACCTATAAATAAAAGAAAATTATTCAGCTGCGACGTTAAATCTGCACTTGCTACTACATTATGGAGCACTGTTGCACCAACCTCTTACTTATGTGACCTAGGAGGAATTGAAGGGCAACAGGATTATGCCTTTCATGGTATACTTTGTATTCCAAATGTGGACTTGGGAAAGCAGTAATTTCCTGTTCACCCACTGCCATTTCTCATCCTCCTAGTTTTCACTGAAGCACTAATTGAAAGCTTATTGAATCACATTATTTAGGACTTCATCAGTGTTCTTTCCCAGTGGTTAGGAGTAAAATATCGTAATTGGGTGATTAAAGACTGCAGCATTTTCAGGAACTTTGTATGTCTGTGTATATATATATACACACACACACACATATTTTTAATACATATAAGCTATATAAAAGTATAATTATATAGTGTATATACAAATATAATGCATATATTATCTACATAGTGTATATATGTTTTATACATGTAATGGAGGAGGGTTGGGGAAGGGATGCGGGGTGTGGAGGTTTTTTGCATTTATATGTTTTGATATATATATGTAAGACACGCAGTGAAATTGCGTGGCCACACAGGCGAGGAACTGGAAAGCCATACTGTTTTCTCCACATTGTGCTCATAGCTAACCTTTATACTCTCATTACTTTAGTCCTTTCACCTATTTCTCCTTTGTCATGTGCTACACCCACCTAGCGCATCTTATCTTAATTGCTTTGTAAATTTTCCACCTAATTAGTTTGTAAGCTCTTTGAGGAACAAATTGTCTTTTACTGTATCTACATAAGGTACCCAGCACAATCTGATTGGGGCCTCTCGGCACTACTGTAATATAAATAATAAATCAGTAAAAAATAATAAATGTTAACCTTCAGGGGCTCAGAATGTTTATTTACCTAGTAGTTAAAATGGAAAATGACTACTACTGTTAAAGAATTTCTATAGTTATCAGTAAAGGAAAAAGGGAAATACCCCAACTCCCTGTCTTAAAAATAAAAGGAAAAAAAAAAAGTACTCACTTGGCTTTATGAGGATCCTCTATTTCTAAATCCCAGACGTAAAGTTTGCCAACCTGATTGCCCAGAGCAAGCATCTTTGAAAGAAAGCAGAGGATATAGAAGTTTTAAAATACTATCTCAAAAAATGGAAGCCAGGATTTTATAAAGGCTCTATAACTGGTAAGTTGTGTGTGAATGTTTGAACATGAATGACTTAATGAGTTTGTTGGAGGGACTAGAAATTATATAAAACTTGCCTCCTTTCTTCCACTTTACTATCCATCTCTGCAGATGGGGAAGGAAGTTATCAATAAACATACCCTTGATGGAAAATAAGTATTTATTCAGTGGAACTTTTTCCACCAGGCAGAACCCAGAATGAAAATCTGGAGCTCCTCCAGTTTCATATAAAGCCCCTTGCAGCAAATAATTCTGCTTCTCAAACATTACATCACATGAACCAAGACTTCCTATGCCCATAAATATTGAATCACTGGAAAGTTATGCACCTTCAAATACAGCAAAGTCAAAGCTCACACATACCTTTTGCCAGAAATCCATTGAAAACCTCATATACCATATATCACACTGGCTGTAATCAAATCTCCCAAGTATGGTCACATTTGACTCACTGGGCTTGATTTTATCTATATCATCTTCCATTTTGCCAGGTTTCCAGCACACAATGGCATTTTCACAAGACTGGGGGGAAACAATGAAAAAAAAAAAAAAATCACCTATATATACATTTATACTGCACATTCACAACTATAACTATAACCAAACATTTCATCTCATAGCTTTCCCAATTACATTAAAAAAAATACAATGGAAAAATCTCACCTCTGTCCTTAGATCACAGCCACTTCACCAATAATACATCGCTGCCCATCGCTGGGAGCCTGCTGCCCTCGCAGCTTTGCCAGGCAACAGGACTGCAGGAGCCCTCCCTCACCCGCTTCAGAAGAAGTCAACCAGATGTGCTCAAACGCACTTTCATGAGCAGTTTAAATTAACCTCAATTTGAGGATTGTTCACCCAATCCCTTCGACCAACAGGACTGCGCATGCACCAATTTCTGGCAATGAGGCAGTTGGACCACATATATGCAAGCAAATGTTACTACTGGACACAACATGTTAATCAAAGTTACTCCATTATGGGAACCCTCTTTTCTCCCTTTAGCAGCAGGACACCTCATCAGTATCTATATACTCTCTGTACATTCCATGCGGATTCTGGTTAGCTGGTATACCTGTACTTTTGGCAGAGGTACAGCCGTAGTAATAATTTTACTTTTTAAGTACAAGCTCCTTATCCACACATCCTTACAGTTGACAAAGTTCACAATACACTCCATAAAACCACTTGACCCAGCACAGCGATTTAACCTAAGACCCCATGCTAGTAAAACTTCTATTGTTTAAGATCCTTAAAACAAGCAAATAAGAGTAACTCAGCTGAAAAAGCTGCAACATTACCTTGGAAAGAATTAGATCTCCCAACCATCGTACACAGTCAACATAGTTTCTATGTATGTCTCTTGTAGAAAAGTCAGGAAAGTGTATTTTCTGGGAAATAAAAGGCCTAAGGAGAAAATTGCCAAGTGAGGCTCAGAGAAACACAGAAGCACAAGTCTAATTTTTAATGGCCGGTTTTAACATCTCGATGTTAGAAGGAAAAGCCTGTCTTTTTTAACAGTTATACAACAAAGTAGAGGGAGAAACAGCTCTGCCTGTATGACTTTTCTTTTTTTAATAATGGGAACAGACCATTTTCATCCTCGTTCCTAATGAAATAACTAGTTTCCCATGTACAAGAATCTGCAGAGACAGTGCTGAGCAAAACCACTCCTTCAGACACTGAATACAGCTCCTGTTGCCAAATACTTCAAGAACTAATTAAAGCTCAGTTTTCCTGATGCTGTGTCTACAACATCTAAATTGTTAAATAGAAATGCACACTATAAAAAAAAAATCATAATTTTAAAAAGGCACGCTAAAAAAGCATCATTTAATATCTGGTAACATTACCAAAAAAACCCGAGAGTATTTTCATAGCTAGTCTCACTACTGAACATGTTCAGTGTGTTTTAGACTCTTCAATTCTCTCAATGGTTTAACTGGAAGTTAAGATTAAAAAGTTGAGGAACTTCATAAAGGATGATTTATCTATCATGTATCTAATTGCTATGTTTACTTGACAATTGACTCATATCTGAGGTGAGAGAATGATGAAAATTAAGGTTATTACCGTGTAAACAGTTTTGTCCCCACCCCAAAGCCAAATAACATATACAATAATAATAAGTACTCAATATAAAAGTATTTCCTACATTTAATTATACAGATTTGATTCCTTCCTAGAAATTTTGAGGTGAGAGAAAGAAAAGCCATTGACACCTTGAAACATGGTGAAATACAAGCTTTAATTAAGAATGTAGAAATAATAATCCCAGACATTTTCTAGTCAAGCAGATAAGAAATAATTAAGATATCTAAAAATAAAAGTGTCAGGAGTTTAAATCCGAATTCAATAAAATTCTACTGAAGCAAACATCAATAAGACATCTTCTAGAGAGATTCAGTACCCGGCACAATCCCCAGGTCACTCGCTATCCCCAAGAACTCCCAATTTGGATATGAATTAACCTGGGCCATTGATAAGAATATTCATGTTTTGCAAAGACGGCCAAGAAGATGAAGACTACGTACCTGTTGGTTTTATTTGGGTTGTACTCATAAGACTCTTTGATGGCATTTATCATTCTCTTGGAATTAATTCTCCAGAGTTTTAGAGAGTGATCCATCCCACAGGACATGATTTTTTCACCAAGAAGATCATAATCCTATGTATATGAAATAATTTTGAGGACCCCCAGCCTAAGCTGCATTATATCAACTCAGATTTTACTCCATCATTTCCATCAAAACAGCATTTTTGGCTTAGAGAATGCAATAAAACTGTGTATTTCAAATAGAAAAATACTAATAACTTAATCCTGCTCACTGTAAAGAAGCACAGTATCTTAATTATATTTACTCTCTCTCAAGAAAGAGAGGCATATTCAACAGCACTGACAGACAATGAATCTACTGCTAGTGCTCCCACCTCACTAAATTCCCTAGGTTTCATTTTATGGAGCAACTTTGGCAGAATTCCAGGGCTACAACATGGGTGATGACTATTCAGAACCAACTTTGGCAGAATTCCAGAGCTACAACATGGGTGATGACTATTCAGAACCACAAGAGAATAATAGTGTCAGGTTTCATATAGATGCACCCCTCACCTTTCAGGTCACACAACAGGAATGGAAAAAGTTCTTAAGAGCAGTGTATTAGAAGTCAACTATTGTAGTTGCTATTTGCTGGGTACCAGCAGTGCTGGTCTGTCTGTTCACAGCCACTGAAAAGCAGCATAACTCACCTGAAATAACTTATTTCCTTCACTACCATGTCTCTCAAAGCTTATTTGTTCTTGCTGCTTTGGCTTGATAAGACCTCAAGAACTTGAAAAGTGGGACCATCGTGAAAACTTTTTACTCTTTCTAGCCCCACTGAGCTGTTTTGTTTGCTTCTAGGCTGCACTGTGAGAAAACTAGCTACTGAAAGACATAGAAAGTGAACACCTGTCCTGTATATTGAGAGGTGGCCAGATCAATCAAACCACCTTAGATTTAAACTTGTCTATCCCCTTAAAACAGTATTTATGCACTTCAGGTTTTTTTTAAGTAGGTATAATATCAAAACAGTGCACAAGAGGATAAAAAGTTGCATATTGTAGGCTTACTACCCTTTGTAAATCTAAATCACTGCCCCACAGTCTTCCACTTACTGCACTTAACACCTCATCCCTGTGCCCTTCTACTCCTCCAAATATTGCAACCAGCGTGTCTGTCTGGATGTTCCACAGTCTCAATGCATGATCTATAAAGAACAAATAAAATTACATGCTGCTTTTTATATGTACATATGAATAATATATTTCAGCTTAACTAATTTCAATAACAGGTGTTCATGTAAACATCAGAAAGGCACTTAATTCTTCTTCACTTGTAAGAAACAACGGAACTGCATTAACTAAAATTGCCATTACAACTAAACTGTTGTTAGAGGACTTCTGTAATTGAGAAAGTGTGCCCACCCCCCTCCCCTAAGGACAGCTTCTAACAAAAATATACTTGGATCTTTAGATCATCCGAAAAGCAAAGAAGAGTCTAATCTTGGACAAGTGTGCTTTCTTTCAGTCTTATCTCAAAAATAATTGTACATATCAAAAAAACACTAGAATTCCTTTCAGCCATTCTTACATCAACATTCAGAGAAGTTTTGATTTTCCATTTTTTTTTTAATCTTTAAAATATTATTCTTTATGAACCACAGACTGTAGCGATGGAAGAAACTGTTTCTATAAACAATATGTACTCCAAAGCCAATCAGACTAATCCACTTACTTAAAGTTTTAACAATTTCTAATGAAGAACTTCTACTGTATTTCCCATTTGGAAATGGGAACCTCTAGTGTATTTCTCTTTTGGATTCCACAAGTACACTGCACTGAATTACAGCAATATCAACTGAAAAGCCACACAGTCTAAAATATTTTCCTCTTTTTCTACTCATCTCTCAGCCAAGCAGTTCTGAGACTCCAATATTCTCCTGCCTCATGCCCTCTCGGAGATAGTACCTGGTCCAGAGATTGCACATTAAAACTTGTAGTACTATGGCTCACGTCAAAATGTTATTAAAAAGAGAACCTAAAAATATATATAATATATACAGAACTCAAAGAAATTCAATGTTACAGACCCACAGCACAAACTTGACAGCTGCAAGAATCACAGAGGTTCCCAACTCCTATTCTCGTGTAGCTTCATCAGTAATACCAAATAGGCTAAAGTCAAGTCTCCTCATGTTAACGTTTCCAACTCGAGCATTCCTGAAGGCTTGCTCTTGCGGCAGATCAAATATTCCCTTACTTAACAAAATAGTCAAGATTAGGAAGTTGTGACTGTTTAGACGTTCTGGACAAGCCCATAAGGCACCGTACCAAAAACTCACTTCTCCCTTCACTAATATGCTTTTTACACAAAGTCCAGTTAAAGTCAGAGCTGCTCCTGAGCGATAGAGAATCGAAGTTTTCCCCGTGAACACAGTGGTGAATGCTGTCTGCGACATAAAGACATCCCCACTAGATGGCAACACGATTCAACAACTGAAAATAATTTAACTCGACTGTTGGAAAGGAAAGAGCAACCCAATGCTCATGTTTCTTCTTTCCTAAAAGCAGCACTGTTCATAATCCCTTTGCACCACAGGTGGAGTTATGTTTATTGTAGGCCATGGATTTAATATGTACAAGATATATAGCCATAAAAGAGCAAGATTTGCTCTAGACTTTCAAGGTAAACTTTTCCAGTGCCATTCATAAAAAAATCATGAGGTTTTGGCCATTTTCAAGACCAAAATCCAATCCAAAGTATCCTGATTTAAACAAAAACAAAAGAGGTTTTTTTCCTCACCTTTGCTTACAGATAAAAGGAGATTTGGATCTCTTGGATGGAATTTCAGTTCATTGATTGCATTTCCATGGCCCACGTAGTGCTGGGATAGAATTCAGAGACCAAGTTATCATTTCCCCTCATGTTTACATGTATTTAGAAGACATAAGTTTCATGCCTTACTGAAATGCAAGCTGTATCTCTAAGTTTGGAGCACTCACCTTTATGCACTGCATTGTAATAGGATTAATTATCCTAATAATACCCCTGGACCCTGCCACAGCCAGAAGAGGATGACTTGTATTGCTATCATATGTCCATGCACAGGTATAGAAATTCTCATCTGCCTACAACATCTCACATTAAGGACCATAGAAGAAACAGATTTTTTTTTTTAAACAATGTGGTTTGGGTTTTTTTCCTCTTAAAATGCTGCTTTATGCAAGGTCCCAGGAGTCTCTGCTAGACCCAATAACAAAAAGATACATATTTCATAATACATTTGCAAATACAAGCAACATCACCTTTTCTATAGATGTCAGTTTCCCCACTTCTGTTCCTTAGCATACAAAGAACACCTTTTTTCTCTTGGCATCACTTTTCAACCTCTTTCTCCAAATCATCCCAAGACTGGGAATAAAATGAGGATGAATCAAGACTGAGTTCACAAGTTATTGACTTGTGTACTGCAAATGATCAATACAAGTTATTACCACTTCAGACCATGGAACATTATTCTTAGGCTTTAAATCCAGTTCCAAATCACAGGGAAATGGAGACCGCTGTAAAGCAGTGAATGTAAAACATTACACAAATATTAGCATTGGGAAAATGAAACAGATGGAATATCAGTTTTCCAATATTTTAATACAGCATGGACCATGAGTCTGCATTTTTAATACTTTTTCAATAGGAGGGTCTCTAGGATGTGGGAAGGTGGTAAGACTTGGACCTAACATAAGGAATGTGCCACACGAGCAAAGTATGAAATCACAGACAAAACCTTCTTATGCTTTTTCCTACAAAGCCTCTTCATTTTTGATAAACAGGAAGGAAAGAAGTGGCTTTTTAACTTAAAAGGATACATCAGCATCCACGTAGGACTGCAACAGACGGATTTCACCTTGGGAATGACATTCATATAAAGTAACCTGGAGGGGGAAAAAAAAAAAAAAAAAAGTAGGAGCAATTGCTGCTTACTTGTGGTATTTCAGAAGGAAATCACATGCACCTGTGTATTCACTTCCTGATGGGGAGAGGTAGTGTGCCTTTATGGTTCAGATCTCATCTATCATGTTTGTTTCTAACAGGTGGAAATGGTTTGATAAAAGAATGCTCACAGCAGCTTCAGTAAAGCACCACTCCAGGACTTGTCAGCAGTCCTTCCCAGATATTTAAATCTATTATTTGAATAGTCTTAGTAAGATTAAACTCTATTTGGAATTAGTTACTGCAGCCATCTGTATTGGGCTTCTGTGGCAATGTTTTGGTAGCAGGGGGGCAACAGCGGTGGCTTCTGTGAGAAGCTGCTAGAAGCTTCCCCCATGTCCGACAGAGCCAATGCCAGCCGGCTCCAAGACAGGCCCGCCACTGGCCAAGGCTGAGCCCATCAGCGACAGTCGTAGTGCCTCTGGGAGAACAGAGTTAAGATGGGGAAAAAAATTGCACAGCAGCAGCCAAAAAAGAGGAGTGAGGATATGTGAGAGCACCAGCCCTGCAGACCCCCAGGTCAGTGCAGAAGGAGGGGAGGAGATGCTCCAGGTGCCAGAACAGAGATTCCCCTGCAGCCCGTGGGGAAGACCATGGTGAGGCAGGCTGTCCCCCTGCAGCCCAGGGAGCTCCACGGGGGAGCAGATCTCTGCCTGCAGCCTGGGGAGGACCCCACGCCGGAGCAGGGGGATGCCCGAAGGAGGCTGGGACCCCATGGGAAGCCCACGCTGGAGCAGGCTCCTGGCAGGACCTGCGGCCCCGTGGAGAGAGAGAGGAGCCCACGCTGGAGCAGGTTTGCTGGCAGAACTTGTGACCCCACGGGGGACCCACGCTGGAGCAGTCTGTGCCTGAAGGACTGCAGCCCGGGGAAGGGACCCACGCTGGAGCAGTTCATGAAGAACTGCAGCCTGTGGGAAGGACTTATGTTGGAGAAGTTTGTGGAGGACTGTCTCCTGTGGGAGGGATCCCACGCTGGAGCAGGAGAAGAGTGAGGAGTCCTACCCCTGAGGAGGAAGGAGCGGCAGAGACAACGTGTGATGAACTGACCCCAACCTCCATTCCCCATCACCCTGCACTGCTTGGGGGGGGAGGTAGAGAATTCGGGAGTGAAGTTGAGCCTGGGAAGAAGGGAGGTGTGGGGGGAAGGTGTTTTAAGATTTAGTTTTTATTTCTCATTACCCTACTCTGATTTGATTGGTAATAAATTAAACTATTTTCCCCAAGTCTAGTCTGTTTTGCCCATGACAGTAATGGCTGAGTGATCTCTCCTTGTCCTTATCTCGACCCACAAGCCTTTCATTGTATTTTCTCTCCCCTGTCCAGCTGAGGAGGGGAGTCATAGAGTGGCTTTGGTGGGCACCTGGAGTCCAGCCAGGATCAGCCCACCACACCATCTCTAACATAACTTGGTCTTTTAATGAGTCATTGATACCTTGTTTAATCTTAGTTTAGCATTCTTGGTAACTGCCAGGTGGAACAAACCTGGAAATGAAAGGCTTCTTGTTTATTCACACTTGCACAGAATGCACTTCAGGAGTTATTTTCAAGACTGAAATTACATAGATCCTTGTTCAGAAAAAGCCTGTAAATTCACTCCACACAGGCCATTAATTTAGCTAGTGAGCAGTGTGGCATCATTGCAGACACTTCTCATCCCATTTTAGCGCATATGACCTTTTGGAAACAATAACATCTAAGAGTAATTTTAGTGAGAAGATACATTTATGCTCCTCTCTTCCTTAACCCACATTTATATTACCAAAGGATTTTTCTTCTTTAATATATAGGCTAATTCCCAAATAGCTGATACATGACTTCATAAAACAATCCAGAGGATGCAACTCTCCCAGATAACAGATGCTACATACTTCAGAAATAAAACTTTCAATATGAAGTATCCCGTGTCTGTACTAAACACAGGTAAAGGGTTTTGTTAAAAAAAGAATGCAAGCAGAACCACACAGAAGGGCTTATGGTTAAAAACAGATTACTCACCCTGTTGCTGCCTACAGTGGCAAAAACAAGAGGATCACCTTCTTTACTGTGCCAGTTAAACTGGACTCCAAACAATGGCTGACCGTGGTCCTCCTGTAGATGTAAAGTAAGATTAGAGACAAAAAAAACCAAAACCCACAGGCATATTATTTCTGTGAAGTTCAGCTGTGGTGGTAAACAGTTTAATTGATATGTTTTGCTCCTCAAACTACTGGGTTTGCATTTAGTATAAGTTCAGATAGTGAACAGTTAAAAAGAACAGTTTTGTAACATCACATTTTAACTTGGCTGTCTTAAGGGAGGTCAAATGAACATTCTGACACTCCCCCCTTTCTTCCCCCACCAAGCTTTTAAAAAAAGTGAAGGGGAAGAACTGTTGTCTCACAGTTATGGCCAGAAGCTGGCAGAACTCCTGACTTGTATTTGCAGCTCTACTACTTTGTTTTGCAATTTTCAGCAAGGCAACCTCTGCATCTAAGACCACGTGTATATGCATTTTACATTGTTCTAACTACTTCCACACAAGGATTTACAACTTTACAGAGGAGAATTATCAGGACACAGAATTATACTGGTATAAGGGTGGAGAAGGGTCACATTTAACTATTACAGCACAGTTAGGTCTTGCAACTCTATCACAGACATGACAAACTCTCTCCAGCATATCACAATGCCGCTGCAAAGTTCACATCCACAAAGTGTTTTCAGATCGCCTTCACAAAGTTACCAGAGAAATGCCAAGTATTATTTTTATACAGCTTACATCAGTTTAATAGAGAAAAAAAAGAAGCAAATATGTTTATGAATATGGTGGTGCTTGTTAATAATTGATAACAGTATTTTGGCCTGTCCTGACAGGATGTTTTCAGTAAGAATAATGTTCATTAAAGTGCCTCCCCACAGGGGACTGTCTGGGACAGTGCAGGCAGGAAGGAAGTGTCTCATGACGGCTGTTAAGCAGCCTTCAAATGGCAGTGCTTCTCAGAAACAACATGAGAAATATTAGCCCTGGCAGCTCTGGCCTATCCAAGAACCAAAGAATAAATTTGAGGAGGGGGTGTGGGTAGGGAGTCCAACACTACTCAGAAAAAGAAAAGTAAGGAAGTCTGGAAGATTTTAAAATGCCACTATTTACTGAGAAAGGCAGTATCTGTTATTAACAGAAATAGCTAGAAGAGCTAGAAAAAGAAGGGAGAAAATCTTTCAGAGATGAAGGCCCTCCCGCACTTCTTTAAGAGAGATAACAACTTTCAAAGTTGAATACAGATTAAAAAGAATAGTTAAAAGTTTAGCCCGAAGTATTACCCACCATAACATGAAAGAACAGACTAGTAGCTTTACGTGATGAGGGATATGGGATATTAGCAAAGGAAAAAGTAGCAAGGTTATTAGTGACCCCAGGACAGAAGGAAAAAGCAAGTATTCAGCATCTGTAAAGCATTATAGTTTAATTAGAGATTAAGAATGAAGAAAACTGTATGCCATAAAATTGCATACACAAAGCCATGATTTTTACTATCCAATAAAGTTATGAATTTTACTTTCTAGGCTTATTTTTTGAGTGTTTTTAAGCCTTCCTTGAAAAGAATGGCTGAGAGGTCAAATACAGATTACATTAAAAAAAAATCCACTAATAATTAGTTGGTTTTGAATTTCTGTATGAAAGAGTTCATGCTGGTGAATACTGAGGGCTTTTGACATACCACATGAAGATAGCACAGGTAAAATGCATGGATTCTTACTCCTTTATTACAGAGATATATTAGCAGGTTTCAAGTTTGTTTCTCTGGAATAACCTTGTTCTCTGTCATGTGCACTGTTTCTGATAAATTTAGTGAAATGGGGAAAAAAATGAAGAGGAAGATGCTTTTCCCCTTCAGGATAGGATATTCTTCCAGCATAAGTTGCCATAAATTTGTGATTTTCTAGGTAGGACCCAGACTAGGGTGATACATAGTAAGTAGAGGGATACAACAGAGGGCTATATTGTTTCTATATTTCTATATTTGGGTACATACCTGAAGTACTTAGTAAGCTTTTTCAAAGACAACCTATTTCCCTGGAAAAGTTACTCTGCGAGACAAATGTCTTTAGACTACTTGCATCATCTGCACTACATTCCTCACATCAAGTGCGACAACCTCCAACAGCCTGACTGTACATATTGCAGTTCTTCTGGTGTTTAATGCATGAAGGAGTCAGGCAGAGGCTCTTGCAGGAAGTCACTAGGGTATCTGCAGAAGTTATGCTCACTTAATTTAAACTACCATCATCCTCACTGGTCAGAGACGGCACATCGCTATTTTGATAATACTTGTCCACCCTCCTTTTTGACCCAAGTTCTAAACAATGAAGCAGGTTTTTAAAAACATTACGCTTTATGTGCTGCACATTATGGTTATTCTGACATGCCAAGTATGTCATGCAAATCTGACCACTAGTTTGTACAGACAGAAGAGTGACCCAGATGCTGGTCCAAAAGTAGACTTGTGAAATGCCATCTTGACCCTGGTATGAAAAAAGGGCACAAAACCCAAAGTACTCAGGTTCTTCATGCACCAGAGAAAGAAGACAGAGGAGAAAATAGACCTACAAGTGTTACAAAAGCAAATACATAAATAGTCAATGGTTAGTTCTGCCCTTACTCACTCAACGTCAACTCAGGTTCAGTCAGAGAATAAGACTAGACCTGTTTTTAGACCGAAGGCAGTGAAGTAAATACTATGCCAACACAAAAAATGATCACCTGCAACTACATGAAGACATTTTAATACGCTGCCACCCACACTGCCAGCAGGGAACCAACTGACCACACATGCATTTCCAGTTCCAGAAGTGGAAGCAAGCCATTATTGGTAATGGTTTTAGTTATCTCTCCTTCACACATCAACAAGCTGGAGACTTGCATGTGGTTGGTTACCAATTCCCAGCTCAGGGGACAGCGAGTAGAAGCTGAGCGACAACACCGGACTGCTAACAACCACTAAGCCACACCCTAAGCAAGAGCAAAGGATAGGGCAAATAACAGTATTGTTTTAAAGGGAGCACATCAACACAGAACACACACGGTCCTTTGCTGAAAGATCTACAAGCAAAACACGTATGGATCTGTGAGGATGGGCATCTGTTAGCTGTATATGCTCATTTACAAACTACATTTCCATTCAGCCCACAGAGAGCAAAGACTTCTCAGTGTACCTTATAGTAACTCAGTACTACAAAAAGGAAAAAAAAAAAAGGCAGTTTTTTATTTCCTGTCATTTTCCAAGTTATATTTTTGTTTTCCTGATGCTTAAATTTCACCCAAAATAACTTCCACAGTAGTGTTTAAAAAGCATATTTAGCAAGCGCTGAGTTTTTCAGGCTGAATCATAACCATTTAACATTCAAAGTAGACAGTAATGGCCATATTTCTTTGTTTCCCCAAGGGGAAAAAAGTAAAAAGCAAAATAAGAGGGAAAAACAAGAGTAGGAAAGTGGAAAAACGCATAATTTATACATTCCTAAAGAATATTAAAATTAATTTCCATGTCTTTAAATCATGTCGACTCTTCATTAATTTCAGTACATGCACCTTACAGCATAGTTCAAAGACATATAAACTATGGGATATGTAATGTGATATGCAAAGAGTCACAAGTGTCTTTCTGAACCCATATACAATATTCAATAGAGTTTATCTCCACAGTATCTGCAAAATTAGTATGGAAGAACAGGAAAAAGAAAAGAGAGGCTTCCTCAAACATGAAGTAAAAAGGAGTTACCAAATTTGGCTGCTACTTAGTCTTTGTACTAACATGCTCGTTTATTATTATTAGCATTAATTTTAGTTCAAAGAGAAATGGGAAAAAGAAGATAATAAAAATACCCCACTTAGCTGAAATGCTACATTTACTCCCTCACAGCTTGACTCCACTTGCACAGGAATCTGTTCCCAGGCCCTGATCCAAATCCACAGAAGTCAGGGATTGCTTAACTTCATACGGTGGTCTTTTGGGTGACCCCATATTGGGGCCTGGGTTGAAGTTGGGGTGAGGGAATATTCTGTTTTCCCAGAAGACACTTGAAAAGTACTAACCCCTTTGGAATATTTGATCTGCAGATAGAAAACCAATATGCTTAGAAAAACTCAGAACTTGCTAAACATTTGGGTTCCGAAAGGCCTGCGCCTGTGTTTGAAGTATGACTTGAAGCCACAAAAGGCACTATCTGCAGGGGCAATTCATGCAAATCACAGGAACAGCTGCCTACCTAGGTGAAAATGAAAGAACTTCCTTTCCTCCTACACCCTGAAGGCACTGGAAATAATTTTTATACTTCAAAAAACACATTAAGATCAACTTGTTTTCCAGATACTTTTGTCAGTATAACTTCCTATCACAATTTCTCCAGTGGCAAAGGTCATTGAGGAGGTTTCCATGCTCCAAAGCTCTCATCACCTCCCGCTCTGCTACCCCAGCATTTCAGTGAGGCAGTCTGAAGCCAAAGTCTGGAAACAGCTACATCAGCACAGCTCAACTGTTAAGTGTGGAGGAATAACAAAAACCTCTCAAAGCAATTCTGCAGAAAATAATATCCACTATGGAGCTGCACACATCCTCTTGTTAGCTAAATATAAAGTTTAGCAAAACTCCCATCTTGTTACAGATGCAACCTTTTCTTTATTTATAAATCTTGTAAAAATCAATCAGATGGCATATTTACAGCTTTTACCACATAAATATCCCACACAAGGCTGAGGAATGAAAGAAACAACAACCTGACAGTGTAAAAGAATCAAAAAGAAAATTCATTCAGTCCACCATAGTGTGTCACCAGTGCAGATGAAAACAATAATACCCTAAAACACAAGAACAGGGAGTGAAGACCATGAATCCACATCCCTTAATACCATCAGGTATTATGTGGGAAGATAAATATGACCTAGATATGGTGCAAACTCATAATCACAACACTCACAATAAATTAAGGAAATTGCACTATACAGCATTTATGACAATTGCCAGAGGAAAGAAAACACCTGATCTGGTAAGTGTGAGGAAAAAACTATTTCAGGATTGTTGGGTTGTTTTGTTTGGGTTTTTTTTAAAATACATTTCAATGGGTAGAAAAATCTGTACAGGTTCTGTGCTTTGCATCAAGTTGTCACAGGTTTTGTTTTATTTGTATTTGTTTATCCAGTTTCTTATCTCAAGCAACTACAGCTTCAATTAAATACATAAGTATAACACATCACACACAACTTTGCAAACCTGTACCCAAAAAATTGGGTTAATTGCAGCACTACCTACTGTCTCCTATTTCTGAGTATCCTTTCTCTCCAAAACTTCAGCTATTACAAATAAGAAAGGTACTTTCTTCGAATGACCACGGAACATAATTGTATACAGATATTATAAATATCTGCCTTGACACTGTCTCACAGTCAACATTAATATTACGGTCAGCAAGTGGTACCCAGCGTTCCCATGTTGAAGCTTACACACACCTACCTTTAGGCTATTTACACATTTGAAGGAATATTTGCACTTCTTTGACTTCCATTTTCCTTTCCCCCAGCTTTTTCTTCCTGGTGCATTAGGAGTGTTTGTTGGTGTATCAGGGCGTTCGGTGTTAGTACCGCTTTCAATACTAACAGCATCATCCTGAAAATATGTAAATTATATAGAATGTAATAAAGATATCATTAACTGCTGTACAAATTCAACTAATTTTGCAGCACTTGGCCTTTTCACTTTTCCTTCTCCTCCGTAAGAACAGAAGATCTCTGAGGACTTGGTGTTATTTAGATTCACGTATTTAAATCTATTACTAACATAACAGCATTCCTCCCTAGAAACAGAACATGAGTCACATGAGGACTAATCCAAGAGGGAGAGACGTGAACTATGATCTAGTGAAGTTTCTTCTGAATACCGGTAGCTGCTCTTAAGAAAATGTCGAAAGATAAAGTGGTTGCTTTCCCTAGAAAACATCTTTGACGTAGACAAAATGAGTACTTCTGAAGTAGTGAAGGAAGAAGTTGTTCGTGTAAAAACATTATGCTTAGCCATACCAAGAATCTAACCGTTCTGAGACTTCGGTACGCCCTTCAGCAGCATCAGGCACAGCACAGTCCTGCAGTAAGTCAGTACTGCCACTAGAAGAGGAAGTCCCACGTCTCCCTCCTGCTTTTTCCTACAATACTTGCTTCAACTAAAAGCTAAGTTAAACAACAAACAAAAAAATTAGCTTGCTGTCTGATCAGCTAAGTAATCCAACTGGCCCTCCAACTGTCAGCAGCCAAAGCTAAGGTAAGGATGAGGAGAACTGGAAAAAAAAAAAAAAAAAAAAAAGGGGGGTGTGCAAAACAACCCTCCCAGTCGCTGAGCAGTTTTAGATCACCTTCAGACAATTAACAGAAACTACAATTTCATATGCAGTCTGACTGCAGGACACTACTCAAAAGGACATTTCTATTCCCTGCATCACCCATCACAGCGCACCTCAACTTTACCTGCATCATAACTGTCAACCCTGTGCTTCCATATAAGTTCAGCTTGTTAAAAATCAACTGTTTGGTTTTTTGGTTTTTTTTCTGGCCAGGTAGTCTGTTCACTTTCTATCAGAGTAGTGGGGGGGAAGCAACTCATCCCAAGGCCATGCGATTTCTACAGCTGAATTAAGGGAGACAGAGGCAGGCAAGAGCCTGACACTAGAGGAGATTAAGTGTAACATGAAGCTGCAACAGGAACTCCACTAGGAATAAAGAATAAGGTCAGCTATAAACATTAATACACCAATTCCCACCAAACGTTTATTCTTTGTCCCAGTTTCATATCTGTACCATCAGAAGCCGGTAGAGGTGTACTGGTCTTTGTTTCCCCAACAACTCTGAAAATCAGGACATTGAGAGGAGAAAAAGGAAGACAGACAACACGCAAGCCTGTAAGCCAAGTGCCCAAACCTGGAGAGATTCCCTTCACGTTGCACCCCTAGAAGAGCCAACCCTCCCCTAATATGCATAACCGAGTTTAACAATTTTTACATTTTCCAGTTTCTTCTCCTTTGCCCTAAGAAATTTCAGAGCTTGCCAAAGTCTTGTCTCCAAAGCGCACTTGCTAGCCAGAGTCATAATACTTCACAAGACTGAAGTTTTCTCTGGACTAGTTAGATACTGTCAATATAAGAACACCAGGTACCTGGTATGATGCAACTACACAGGGTATCTGCAGCTACAACATAACTGACAAACTTTCACCCAGGATACTGGCAGAACAAAATGCACCCTTTCTCCAAATCAACGCTTCATGCCAACTTCAAACCGAACCCTCGTCTTTCAGGAGTAGTGAAGTCCAGTCACAAACTCTTGTAAAGGGAGTCCTTTCACCACCGGGACAGGTCACATTTTCAGTAACCAGACAGCCCGCATCCGCGGTCACTGATAGCCTACAACGGACACCAAAGCAAACCTGAACGCCTTTGTCACCAAATTACACTTGGATTCACAAATGCTGCTGAGCAGTAAAAAAATTCAGCGGCAGTGGTGCGGAGCACCTTGAACCTGCCTGTTGTCTCACAAGCAGGACTTCCACAGGTTGTGGAAGATGCGGTCCAGATCCCTCACTTTCTGGATAAATGCTCTAACCAGAAGAAAACCCACACTGCATAAAGCTAACACCCCCCCACTCAGGAACTACGTGATTGCTAGATACCTTAGATTAAACTTATGTTTCAAGCATAAAGCTATTCTGTATCGATCACCTTACCTGTGTTCTGAACACTAGATTTTAGCCTAACTTAGAGATTACAGTGCTCATGCCCCGCTGACAGAAGCTTGGGAGCACTATGCCCTATTCCTCATTCACCCAGGGGCTGCACGCATAAATTTATGCTGCATGTTACTCTGCAACGTGACGGTGATAGCACACGACACAAAACTGCGAGAAAAAGATGGAAAAACCCTGCTCTTTTGCACCAAAAAAAAAAGTCTGACATCCCGGAGCTGACTTCGACACGCAGCCCGGGCCTCAAATGCTCCCTCACCCCACGTGGAGGACAAGCGAGTGCCTCCCAGCCCCACGCTGCTCTCTCTCACACCGCCGCCTCCCTTCCAACGGCCCGCCCGCCTCCAGCACCGGCCACCGAGCCGAGGCGGGCGGGCTGACCCCCTCCTCTCCGCCCCGCCGGGGTCGGACGGGGCCCTCGGGCCGCGGGACACCCGAGGGGGCCGGCCCGGGAGCTCTGTCTCCTCACAGCGGGGGCCGGAGGGAGGGTGAGAGGGGGCGGCGGCCCCCCTC